GTCACAATCACCATGTTCAATTATTTGAGTCAACGTTTTCTTCCAGAAGAGGGTTCTATCATAAAAATTCAGCTCTAGAGCCAGAGAAGATGGTAACAATGATACAGATTCATCCAATCAGCTTTCCTGTTGGAGTAGGAGCTGCTACAGCAGCACTGCAGCTGCCAGCAGACTTAGGAAGACCATATTGCACTGGCCTACAGTTAGAAGATTGTTCAGCTTGTTCTCTACAATGCCAGTTTAAATTCTACAGAATTTAAGTGTTTAGAGGTCTTTTATCTCTAAGGAAGTTTCCTACTTGCTTTAGGTTTTTATTTCCATGCTTAATTAGAAATACCAGTGAAGAAGATAAGGGAGCTGTTGAGAAGTGAAGGGAGCGCCATGTGGGTTTGGCATTGTGGACAGGAGCTGTGAAACCTTTTGTGCAGTGTGGATGGTGGTGATGATAGAATTCTTTCCCAGGGAGCCCTACCTTTCTTCTCAGAGCCAAGAGTAGTGTGTCTGGCAGAAATTTGGCACTTTGCCTCTTTGATTTTAATCTGAAGTAGCCATCAGTGTGGAACTGTGTGAAGGAAACTCAGGATCCTGGGCTGGAATGGGAAAGGATGCTTTCAGGGAATCACAGTGCAGTGGGAATTCTGGCTAGTCTGCGTCTTCTCTCCTCTTGCCCTGGCTTCTCTTCTCTCGTACGTTGAAGCTCCAAGATCTGACGTTGTTTGTGCCATTCTGGGTGTAAGGAGTGGGAAATTAAGCTTCGTGCGGGGGTGGGGGGGAATATAGCTAAGAAAACATGCAAAATAAGCTTTGAGCAGGTAGAAGGAAACCCTAAGGAGATGTTTCCTGCAACCATTTTGGCCCTTGTCAGTATTATCAGACTCAACAGTGATCAGTGGAGGGCTTTATCCAAAGTAAAGGCAGCTGGTCAAACTGACTTCGGTCACTATAATCCTTATTACGCTTGTTCCATACGTGGTTGTTTTGAGGGTTGAGCAGCTGAGATCCACAGAGAAACGCTACTTTATTTTTGTGCTATACCCATGTGAAATGTTCCATGTTCGTTTCAAAAACATACACTGCCCTAGAGGTATGAAAGAAATTCCGGAAGTCTGCAGGAATTTGTATGAAGTCTAACTTTAACGGCTCACCTTTCCTTTTATTGACCTCATCCCCGCGTAGAGCTTGGTATGTGAGGTTTTCAGCTGACATTTCAAATCGCTCCGCATGTCTCTGTATCCCTTTTACAGCAGCCTCCCCGCCCAGATCAGAAGTGACCGTTTTTTTGCTAGACTCCACGTTCCTTTAATGTTTTCTTTCTAATAGATGTTGAAAGCGTTCTTCAGAGGCACAGCACAAAACATTCACATAGTGATATGAGCCAGCTGAAGAGAGTTGTCAGGGAGAGGGAACGTTAAGAGAAGGATTGAATACAGATGGATTCCTCAAAAGTAATGTAACCTGTTATGATTGCTTTGAAATCCTATACCCTTTCCATGTACTTATGCTTACCAAAAGTTTACATTTGCATTGATGTATTAGAGGCAGAGCTAAAATGTAAGTAATCCCTGTTGTATACATGCTTAAGTGTGTAATTTTAGCTAAATACAACAGTTGGGACCAAACTCTTTCCTGTATTCTCGGAGGGAAGTTCACAGCCACGTACGGTTCAGTAGGGGGGTTCTTGCGTCTCAAATGCTCTGGAAAGGAGAGGAGCCCTACGGCACCCATCTGGTCGGTGTTACCCAGCGAATTCCTTTCACCGTCTCAGATTCATACCCAATGAGCTCTTAAAATGCTCTGCAACGGTGGCGTGGGGAAAGGGCTGCTTATTTTTTCCCTATGTCAGAACCACTTGTCTCTCAGTTCTACTTTGGGTGGTTTCCTAGCGAAAAACACAGGGGCATGGCTCTGATCCCCCCCCTCCACCCCGACTGGTCTTGTGCACACGTGCGTCCGATCTTCTGCACCAGAGGTTTTCAAGCTAGGGGGAGAAAGAGAGGAGGGAACGGAAGGCTACAAGACCTGACAAGCAAAAGTCCTGATGACTTCTGTAAAACAGGTCACTTCGTCTTCAGGACCCAAAGTTGGGGAAAGCCGCCATGATGTTTCAGAGCTCGGCGTGTGGCAGAATGGGAAGTCATCCCTGTATGAAGCACTGACTTTCACCTGGGGGACCTCAGCTGGAGCCGCTACTTCCATGCAGATGAGACGCCGGTTCCCTTGATTTGCTAAAAAATAATGCAAGGTTTTGTTTACTTCTTGAAACCCGGTACATAGGAAGCATTGCCATATCAGCAGGGCTAAATCCGGGGAGATGGGAGATGTTTTCCTTCTCTTCTACATGATCAGCTGATAAAAATGAGAAATTGATGAGTCTGTGCATTTTCTTCGGTATGTTGTAGTCATCTGCTGTGCTTTATTAATATCCTGCTAGAATAACCCACTCCGCTTCCAGAGAGGCCTGGCAAAAGGTCCACTAGAAGGTGGTGTTACATTTTAATTGGGTTATCCAAAAAGCATCCTCTCTTTGCCCGCAGGGAAGGCCTGACCTATCCATCATTTGCACCTCAATTTAAGAGGCTGTATCTGCCTCCATCATGCAACTGTCATATCAAATTTGACAGGAAGGCTATACTGCACAGCGCTCCTTTAATATTCAGAACTGACCATTATGCAAGGGAAGAAGTGGAGAATGGGTGGTGGTAAGATTTTGGCTTATTATACCTCGCTTTTTAGGGGAAACTTGTTCAAATTATTTCCAGCCTTAAACATTTACCCTAGAAATCTGTTCTGAAATCTAAGGGAGCATAGAAATGAGGATCTTCCACCGCACGTTTAAAGTGACAGTCGGAAAGTTTGTATGCTAGAAGATATCCCTGGTAAGAGTTTTTAACTGGTCAAAGCTGTATCACGCTGGACAGTGGAAAAACTTCACAAGACGCCCTTCACTTATGACAGTAGTGCAGAACGTCAGGTGACTCAGGGTTGGATGCTCTTTACATCACCCTTGCACTACGCTGAGCTCAATCACACGAGCAGAAATAGCTTGACGTTTCTGTTGTTTTGGGGCAAGTGAAGTATTAGTTTTCTCTTTGTCAGAATAAAAGTGTGCATTTGTTTCTAACTGACCCCCTCATGAACCTAAAGCAACGTGATTTTTCATGGTGACCTGTGAGCACACTGCCTTCTCTTTAGTATCCATGACCCCTTGTAGTACAAGGAAAATAGTTTGTTGCGGTTTCTAGAAGCGTAAAGGCATGGGGAGTAGGAACTACGCAAGTAGATTATTAGCTGAGGGCTATAGCCTTGTTTAATTTGTTTTTTAAAATACTTTGCTAAACTTCATCCTTGGACGCCTAGTTCCATTTTATTAACAGATTCTGTAAACCTTTACTTTAAATGGTTGTCTGCTAATTCCAGCTTGTGTAGTGGCTAATGTGAGGAGACCGGCAGGTATTATCAACGGATGATTATCCTGGGTTCATACTCTTTAAAAATATGTGGAAACTGCCAGCTTTTCCCTTTGCTGGTGTCGTGCCCTCTTCCGCATCTCCAGTCCTTCTGTCTGCATGTTTCTCTTGCTTTTCCTCTCCTCTTGTCTAAGCGTAAACTCATCAGGGACTGGTTTTTAGGTGGGACTTTGACCACCGCACTAGAGCGAGAAAAGCTTCTCAGAGGAGAGCCAAGGAGCGGGAATCACAGGATGTGTCCTCATTGGAGGTGTGTTTAGCCAAGTTCCATTACAAGCCATATAAGCTAGGTGCCGGTTTCTGCATTAATAAATAGAAGATGACGCTGGTGAGCTTCATGATCTGAATTTAAACAGGACTCTGATTTTCAGAGCTGGTAACAGACCTTGAAGAACACATCAACTCATCAACTTTAAGATGTCTTACAAGTGCGGATGGCTGCTTTTAATTTCTTTTGTGCTGTTCTTCATGCAGAGAGGTAGTCAGGGAGCGCGGGGACTTAAATGGCGCTGTGTTACTGTGCCAGTGTGAACCTTTCAGCTTGTTCATCTTTCTGGCAAATTACAAAATGACTTGTACTAACAATAAGACGAAGGCGACTGTATGGTGTGAGTGTCCTGCGGTGTAACAGAGTCGGAGGCATGTTGGTAGCAGTCGCTTTTCTATGCCAGTGGTAGTGCCAGCATTAAGGAGCTACTTGCCCACTTGTTTCAGGAGCTTCTTCACTGTTAATCCAGGTCTCCTTCTATGCAAGGAACTGTCTCCCCAAGTTAACTCATGCAGGTGGCCTCTCTTCCTGCTGTTTTCTTTAAGAGAAGAAGATTGACCTGCTTGCTTATTTACTTGAATAACCTGCCTGCAAGGCAAGGTGTGTGGTTGTGCACGAAGTAACCGTCACAGATCCATGGCCAGATTGTCTGCTGGGAAAAGCTGTGCAATTAGACGGTTTTTGCTGATGGAATTTGCAAGTGTTTGATGTACCCAAGTGTGACAATTGAGGTCTACTTTAGGTTCTTGGCTGTAAACAACAACCATTTCTCCCTTTACCTCCCTCGATTGGCAGGTGTATTGGAGTGGGGTGAAAAGGGATAAAAAAAAAAAAAAAAAAAAGCATGGAATAGATGAGCTGTGCTACACATCCATCACAATCAGAGAAGTAGAACAAAGCCTGTTTTGACCGAGAAAGATGCTGTCTCATTATCTAGATACTGCTTTTAGATGTCCTGCCTTGCTCATAAAATGACAATGCCAAGCACTTAGCCAAGATACAGTAAGTTGTGCATGTGAATTGGACTTCTTCCATACAGGTTGCACTCTCTCTTTCCTCAACTCTATCAATATCATCTTCATTACTCCATGAATCCCCTTTTACTTCCAGTTATGAGTAAACCTGTTCATGGTTCTACCAAAGCAACTTAATATGAACATAGTCATAGGACAGAGTCCTTCTGCCCAGTGATGCAGATGCTTACCGGTGGCTGTAAGGTCAAGGTCGTCTCCTTTTAATTTGACTCTGTTTCATTTTTCTTCCAGGCATGGGTCATGGAGAGAGCCCGTTAACCCTTACTATGTCAACACGGGATATGCCCTGGCACCAGCCACCAGTGCCAATGACAGCGAGCAGCAGAGCATGTCCAGTGATGCAGATACAATGTCACTGACAGACAGCAGCGTGTAAGTAACTTCAATTTGATGTGACAATAAATGGAGTGTAGCATGCTTGTTTCTTAATGGTGGTGCAGCTTTTGTGTTTGTCCAGGGGAGACATTGAAACAGATGGTGTTGGGGAGAATATCTGACTAGACCAAGGTCATGATCATTCAAGTGTTCTTTTTGAGCTGAGTTGCTTTGTCATCCTGCGGACTACTCAGACTTGCCATCTTGGGAACATTTGCAATGTCAAATGCTTTGCGTGGGCTAAAATAAATGATGCTTGGCAGGAGTTCCTGCCGTGTTTCTTGCTTGGTGCAAATGGACGTGAGCTCTCTGGGGGCTCCTCCCCATTAGGATGAATCAGATGGCAATCCAGTCAAGATTTGTACCATTGCTTTTTTCTGTCTTTTATCTTTCCAAAGTTCCCACTTGCCTCTGAAAAACACAGTATTTGGGTGGCTGATTACCAAATAAAAGCCACAAGAAGAGTTCTGGTAAGCTCTTTGCTGGAATACAGCTCAAGAAACTTCTTAGACTTCTTGTCCAAAGCTCAGGTAGAACACACCTGCAGTTGTACCTCTGCATTCAGTTGTCCTCATTTTGCATAGTGGATCGTAAGATTAAGCTGGGTTAGGACAGTACCTACAACTGAGAAGACTTGGGCTCACCTCCAGGTTCCTCACAGTAGCTTTCCAGTGTTACCTTAGTTTTTTCTATGCCTTGGGCCTGTCGGGAAATAGCTTTTCCTTCAAAGTGTACTGTAATGGGGAATGTTACGCAATGAAATGCCAGATTCTTTCTCTTGGTCTGTGTAATAGAAAAGCTAAGTAGATTGAGATGCCTTTGAAGACAGAAGATAATTTGACTAAGCCTCTGTAGCTGCTCTGTAGGATGCCGGTGAAAGTGTACTCAAAAAGAAAAGAATCTCGACCTCCTGGAAGCTATTCATCGGAGCTCACGGAGGGTCCTGCTGACCTGCTGTCACTTCTGTAAGCATGTACCAGCATGGACTGTGCTGGGAGAGTGGATGTGCAGCATGGATGTGCTGGGTATGGGGGGATATAGGTCTTGAGGATGGAGTAGCATCTTTCTAATGATAATTCCAGTCGAGGCTGTGCTTTGCTGCCTGTTGACTAGTTATCACAAATTTGGAGAATCTCCACCTGCGCATGTCATGGCAAGAGGGGACGGTAAAGACTGATGCATTATCGTTTATTCCCAGCCATTTCATCTCATCAAATGTTTTCTTGCAAGCTCATGGCCTTAATGGATTCAGAACTGTTCAGAAAGTGAAACTGGGGAATCTCCACATCATGCTTAGGCCTCTATGTCTGCAGCAGGTTCCTTCCTCTGCCACTGTTATAGCAGATACCTTGTGTCATGGCTTGATGAAAACTGTAAGACAAGGCAATATATCCGTCCTTTTAGCACTGAAGAAACTAAAATACACAAGGAGGTTCATTCCAGTCTTCCTCTTTGTGGTGCATTAAGTTCCTTCCAAACGGCTGGAATTGCAAAGCATCCATTCCCCTTCCACGGGCTTGGATTGCTCTCGCACCTGGCAGATGTGTACGAGATGTCATCACCCATGACTGCTGTCACAGTGGGGCAGGGGAGCCAGAGTCTCAAGCTGTTTTTTTACTCTACATCCGTGTGAAGGACTCATTCCTAAGTTGTTTTTTGCTAGTAGCAGTGAACTTGTAAATCCCAACCTGTGGAGCCTCCCATCAATGTGTTTCCTGGGAAATATGATGTTTCAGGATTTGCCAGATCTCCCTGAGGCTCTTTCAATACCAAATGAGAGTTCAAGGCATTCTTTCCCAAGTGGGGACCTCTTACTTTGGCAAAGCCCTCCTTCTGTGTCATCCACGTGTGTGGAAATGCACCCTTGGGAATTTTCTGTAACCCTGAAATCTCAAATGTTAATTTAAACAGAGCATCCAACTTTTCAGCTTTCTACAAGTACAAAATCTTGTGCTACAGTAGAAGCTTTGAACGTATAGAGGTCTTTCAGCTCACCCCATACATCCTTGACAATGACAGCGTCTGACATGCCCATTCATTTAGTTTGCACCTGTTCTTTGTTGACAGACATGTGGCAAAGATGAGCAGAATTGCACTAACTTAGGCAAGCTTAAGGGCCTGTTTTTCTGTAACATATAGCTTTATAACTAATTATTGGACTGCTCAGTGAGAAAAAATACAGCTTCTGCAATTGTCCGCCCTGCGTGGAAGTACCTCTGGTTCATGACTGCTACTGTTGCAGCATAACAGCCTGGACTTGGCACAGCACGAAGCTTCGAAAAGTTCAGCGGTGGTTTGTCAGAGGAGCTGGGTGTCTGTGTCTACCTGTACCTGCATTGTGGACTCGTCGGAAGGTGTTCCCAGCATGGCTCCAGTAGGATCCAACTTGAAGACTGACCTTGCTTTGTGTGTGGGGCTGACTAAAGACCTCCGGAGGTCCCTTCCAACCTAAATTATTCTGTGATTCTTTGAGACTACTACAGCCTTTCCTTGCAGAACTAGGCCTTCTGGGGAGCTATAAGAGTCTGTCATCTCACTGTCAGACAGATACCCAAAATTTCATTAAAATTCCAGGTCATCTATGTCCAAATCATCTGCATTACGTTACCCATCTGCAAAACGCAAAAGATACCACCTGTCTTCCTAAGGGCTGCCTGGAATAACTCACTAATTTCTCTCACGGTCTGTGCCTAGACATAGCTTGCCGGGCCAAAGACCAAAGGTAGAAATACTGTTCTGCACCTAGTGCAGCCAAGTCAACAGGAGCTCTGCAGTCCTTCACCCAAACTTGGCAGTCATCTTTACATCGGGGTCCATTCTGACATACCTGGAGAACAAGAAATGTTGGGCAGCTTTGGAGTAACTGATTTGAGACAGGGTATCTTCTGATTTTGCTGAGATGCTTCTGAATGTCAGACAGACCTTTTTACTTCCCTGGGTTCTTTTCCTCTTAATTTTTTGCTATATCAGACTAAGTTGTTTCTCAATACGGTCAGTGACTGAGCAGTTCTGTTTCACGTCTAGCAACCACTGCACTTTTATACAACTTGTACCCAGAAGCCTCCTCCAAATCTTTTTTGCTTTTTCTGGTCATGACAAAGTCCTGCATCTCACCCACAAGACAACTTCCTTAAAGATTGTCTGCAGAGGAAGTAAAAATGGGTTATGGGTTTTTGTTGTTGTAGTTGCATCTCTGTGATGCAAAAAGATTTAGGGGAAAATATTCTGTTTGCTCTGCTTTTTAGTAGTGCAAATGCAAAGTGTCTTTCTGTAGAGCAGAAACCCTTTGATTCTTCAAGCGAAAGATGACAGGTTTACAGAATTAGGAGACCGTTTTATTAACAGCAATCCTGTAAACACAAAGTCCTCCAAGAGGCTCGTTTAGTGTCGTTGCGAATGTCAGGAGCTGTCAGACCTCATTGGAGAAACATTCCAGCCTGTGTCATGGTGTCGTTAATGGGGGCTGCCCATCAAGTTACAGCGGTTCACCACCTCCCCGTGGTTGATACAGCGAGCTGGTGAATCCCTGATGTGGCTGCAGATATTCAGGAGAACAGATAGAGCAAGCTGTCTGGCCAGTTTTGAGCACTGCTCCTCCTCCAAGCAGCCTCTGTGCGCCCATTCCCTGGTAAGCAGACGTAGGCCAGGAGTTCAGGGAGCTCTTGGCCCTTGCAATACTTGTACAGCAGATCTACCACTCACGCTCTGTGGCGAAGATGTAAAGGATGGTGAATGGCCTCTCTTTGGACCCCTTTTATCCCAGGTCATACGTCTTGGTCCAAGGTGGAGCACTTCTGATATCCCTGTTGCCCTCTCTTACTGGTTCATGGATAGTTGGGGTGGGATTTTTGGTCTTACAAGTTGTGGTTAATGGCATCCCTTGACTTTCATTAGCTACACAAAGAAGTGTTTAGTTTTGCCTTGCTCACGTGTCTTTCCTTTCTGATGAAGACTGTGGCTGTTCTTCAGAGTCGTCTACCGTTCCTGCCTTCTTAGGAGCTCTAGGCCTCAAATACTGCCTTTTCTGTAATGGCCCATCTCTAGCACTGGATAGTACTGTATTCTTATACTTCATAAGATTCTTATACTTCATAAGAAAGCACAGTTTGTCACTCCTACCCGTTTTACCCTTCGAAAATCAGAGATTTTTTTGGTTTTTTGGGTTGTTTTTTTTTTTTTTTTTTTTTTTTTTTTTTTTTTTTAAACCCCTTCCCAGCTTTGGCTTGCCTATAAGATTTCTTTATGAGGCTTGGGTTGGAGCAGGCATTAGCGACCTGCAGTTGGAGATCAGATGTCAGGATGTCACACACACGTTATCCATCTCGTGTTGCAAAATGGAGGATGCAGACCCTCGCTAAAGTGTCTTGAGAGAAGGAGGATGCCCCTGGGACAAAAAACTGTAAAGAACCACTGATTTAAAGGCTCAGTTTGGTACAAATCCAGCTGCCTTGCCACATCCTTCTGCTAGTCTTCATTTTCATCTGAGACGGAGCCTCAGTCTGAAGCTAGTAGGGGTCATATAACTTGTTATCAGATGAGACAGATGCAAGAACTCTTCAAAATCTTCTTCGCTTTTAGTGCGTCCTTTTCCACAAGTTCAGTGGACTCATGGGGTCGCACTGATAGTTATACCTGTTGGATCATTTATGCTGAAATTCTTCATCCTCCTAATTTTTATTTCAGTAGCTATAATTAATTCCTTTCACAGGCAGAATAATTCCTGTTTGACCATCCTGTGCATTCTTTATTCTTTGCTCCTTTTTCCTTTAGGCCTTTTATCCCTTCTACGTGCACATAGGCTGCTTCCTGGACTTTAATTACGACTGATATGTGCTCTGCCTTCTGCTAATAACTAGCCCAATCTCAGTGACTCATTTTAACTAAGTCTCAAAAATCACAAGGGCGAACCTGTGATCTTTCTTTTTGTGCATCTCAAACTGGATGCATGCAGATTTGTCCCCAAATTACAATTCTGGACATACAGCCTTGACCTTTGGCTCACAAAAGACTCTATCTGCATTCAACGTTTGCTCTTCATTATGTTGTTTAAAACTCCAGTACCAGGTTTTGTTGCGTTTCTACATGGCGTTGCTGAACCTATCTGTCTCCTGCATTTCAAAGGAATTTGTGCAGAATTGCTCAAGGCAGCAAAAGTGAAGAACAACCAGACGCAAGTTAAAGAAGGGACTCCTGCTGCTTGACGAGACTTGCATGTCTTAGCACTTTGAATTTAGGCCTCCTCTAAGGAAAATGGCAATAAAAGCCTCATTTGCTGATGAGCGAGGTTCTTCTCTGCGTACGCTGTTTACATATAGCAGTCAAGCTCAATAATGAAGAAATGTAGCTTCTCCTCAAAGGCAGTGCATGAATGGGGTGTGATCCCGCGGCGGAAACCTCTGTGACCCTACATCAGAGGAGGACGTTTCCGGACAATGCGGATGCAAACACGGGCTAATTGCGGAGAGCCCCAGAGTGCTTACAGCAAGCTGAGAAAGCACGCGGACGCACAAAGAGCGTGACTTGATGCGAGGCATGATCTGCTGGTGTTAGCCAGCTCAAGCCGGAGGAGGAGGTAAAAACCCACGAGTGCAATATTCGGTTGCTTAGACTTTGATATATTGCAGTCGTCACCAGCACCCTTCCAAGCTTTGCTGTTCTACCAGTCATGGCAAAATGGGTTTTGGAAGCGTGATTCCTCCACCAGGCTGTGCGTGCATGGAAAACTGCTGGCAAAAACCTGCACAATATTTTCCTATCGTTTCCTTCCAAGCTAGGGCAAACAGTGTCAGAGGACAGAGTTTGCAAAAAGCGCCCGCTTACCTAAGTGTTTTTAAAAGTCATTTCTGTGGTACCACGTACAAGCACATAAAGCCTGACTTTCAACAGGATTTATTTCCAAGCACTGGTAAATGTTATTGTAACGTGCTGAATTCATATGACAAGTATGTTGTGGTCTCTGTTGTTTGAGGAGTTGTGTTTTTGAGTAGCTTAAAAAACATGGCTCTTAAATGCTGGCCCTCCAGTGATTATTTTTCAGTCTTCCTGTGTTGTACGAATTCCTCTGCCCTTGTAGGCAAAACAGCTTCAGCCTTGTCTGCTGAAAACTGGTTTTATAATCTGAAGAGCAGCTGTGTTGTTTTAGCTGTTTGCTGTGGAGGCTGGGTCTAGAGAGGACAGCATGAAATGACTGGAGCCTACACTGGCCCTGATGGGACACGCTGGCTGCAGATGAGTCCTGCAGCCAGTGGCTTGGGTTTTGCGCTCACTGGTGAGCCCGTCTGGCGAGCCTCAGGCCGGCAGCGGTGTTTACCCTGTATGGCCAACTGATGGGGGCCTTGGAGAGCTCCTTGCTTGGAGCACCTTGAAGAGCTCTGTCTTGTGCCCTTTTTTAGTGGGGAAAAAAAATCTCCGTGTGAATAGCATCTTTCCTAAAAGGAGGGGCCAGGCTCTGGGTGTTTTTTTTTGTTGTCACAAGAGAGAGATCAAGGAAGTTAAGGTAAGTCAAGGTGTGGAAGCAAGGGGCAGAAGTTGAAGCACGTTAAATCACCGCGTGGACGTTCGAATTCAGCAGCAGAAACGCATAGCCGATATATCCTCTCTGTGTTTCTGCGAGAGCTTACAAGGGTGAATGAGAAGCAATGTCTTCTCTTCAGGCCGGCACTGAAGTCCACCTAAACAACAGGACTCCTTTCTCCAGGGCCTTATCGTGCATCCTGGCTTATCTTTGGCTGGCAGACAGGCATTGCAGAGGGCCTTGACGGGAGCTGGGCTCCGGGCGACAGACACCTGCCCTTCCCCACTTCAAGTGGTGCTGGCACGGGGCGGGCTGGGAGGGTTCTTCTTCTGTAACCCCTTCCCGAACCCTGGCAGATGGCATATGGCTCCTGAGATGTTCCCGTGGCGCTTGGCCCCGGCGTCGGGTGCGTTTCCCCTCGTGCCGCTTCGTGGGAGCGCGGCCTCTCGTTTGCAGGGGTGCTTGGCTCGGAGGAATCGGAGAAAAAAAGTCAGCGTCTCCGTGGATTTGTTTCCTGCCTCTCTGATGGCCGGCGATCCGGAATGACCTTGAGTTCTGCTATGTTTAAACAAGTTTAACGGCTTCTTAATTTAGCGGGTCCCAAATGGCGATTTTGGGCTCGCTCGGCGCAATGCTTGGCTTTGAAGGCCACCCGTGGAGGAGCAACGAAGGTGCTCATTAGGAGCACGCAGCAAAACCTCTGTCCGTCCATCCGTCCCAGGGACTGTTGCAAGTCAGTCCGGGGAGCAGAGGAAGCCACCGTGCTCCCAGAATCGCAGACCAGTGACGTTAGCATCGAAGAAGGGGTAGAAACGCCCTCGCTCCCCCCGTTGTGTTTCAGCGCTAGAGCTTGCTGGTGCTAAAGCAAATCGCACGGTGAAACGAGTAAATACAGTGGTGGAAAGTTTTATTTTAAAAGTAGATGTGCTCTTAAAAAATAGAGGGTTTTTTTATTATTATTATTTCTCTATCTATTGAAAATATCTCAAAGCAAGTTACCTGACAAAGGAAAACAAAAGTGCGGTATTGGTTTTCCTTGCTTTTTCTCCCTCCCCCTCCCCGCCGTCTATTGAATAAGGTTTTGTTGGGATAAAATTAAAGTGCTTATCTTTGAATTTGCTTCCTCTGGTTGAGTTGGCACAGCGCATTGAGCGAAGGAATGCTCCAAGTTCAGAGGTGGCATTGGGGAATCTAGTTAAAATGACATCAAAGGCAGCACAGCAGGGCTGAACATGTGTTTGAAGCCGGATAGATTAGAGGCCATTATCAGCCTTTCGCTACTGTGCTCCGAACAAAAGTCGCTCTTTCCGCTGGGACCGCTGCTGCGGAGAATTAAAAAAAAAATAAAAAAATAATAATAATAAAAAAAAAAATTGCGCCTTCGCTTAGAGTGCCACTTTTCCCGTGAATGTCCGTGCTGCTTTAACGGGCAAGTTGTGGTCTGATCCCTGGGTTTTTTTGTGCTGCAATTACGCCAAAAATCTTGTTTGCTGATTCTTACCAGAAATTGCTAAAATCATTCCTGAGCGAAAGCATATTCCATCAAAATTCCCGCTGATTTGGTTGCCATCCGTTCTGGAGATGTGGCAAAACTGTTTTAACCGTTGTGACTCTTGAGTGACTTTTTTCAAATGGAGGTTCATCATTAAAGAAAATGAAGCCTCCTAATGAAAGCTATCATAATCGCCCGTCGTTATGGCAACGCTTCAGAAAATTGCTCTGCCCTGGTAAAGTGTCATTGACTTGGTGCAGCGGAGGTGATGTTCTCGCATTTGCTCTTCCTCCTCCCACATTACCTGCAGCCCGGAGTCAGAGCTGCAATTAGCCTGACTAATTTTCTGTTTTGTCGTTTGTCCTCCCGCTAAAAAGCGCTTGTCATTAATCGCGGGTTTTTATGTTATTGTAATGGCGTTTGATTTTGAGTGCCTGGGTTACTAAACGAAATTGCATTCGTATGATGCCGTTTGGTCACAAGAGCAAACTAGTAGCAATTTGGTAGGCGCCCGTCCTTCCTCCACCAAAAACGGACCGGGCTCATGTTTGGAAGGGAGAACCGATCTCAGGTCGGTGCTTGTTACTCTGGAGGTTTTCAGGCAAAAAATATGGTAAATTGTATTTTCATTGCCAAATAGCATGCAAGGTAGGCATTGAAAATCTGCTAGTGTGAGCTGGTTAAACTGTTTTGTTTATGTTATCTAAAGCAACTGTGTTTTTTGTTTTTTTGGGGGTTTTTTTTAAGGTGAAAAAGACCTTTGGCTTGTGTAAATGTCTCATCGTTGTAAGCTGTGGTGGGACTGGATCATCTGCACTGTTCAGCCTGGTGCAAGGGTTGCCTGTTCCCTGGGATGTAGAGGCTGGAAGGAGGCAGTGTATGATGGAAGATACTTGGTATTTGCAACAAAAAAAAAAAAAAAAAAACACACAGTACATTAATTTCTGTGGCATTGCACAGACATCCAAAGCAGTTACTTTTACTGAATCGGGAGAATCCATATAATAAAAAGGAAAACTCCAAACCCATAAGCTCCAGGAGGGCATTTGTTTTTGCACCCGTTGATTTTTCTCAAAATAACCCGGCTTCACTAGGATGTGAGCCCATTTCCCGTATCTCATCGCTGAGCTCTGCTTTGGTTCCTGGGATATAAGCGGTAGGGATGCAACAGTGAAAACAGAAATGTTTTTTTTCCCCCCCTGGAGTTGCACTCAGGCAGCAACGATTTGCCATGAGCAGTGCTTGGCAAAGCCCAATAGCTCCAACCCCTCCAACACCAGCTCGCTGGGAGCCGACACGCACCCAAAAGCCCATAATTTCTGGCTGAGCTAGAGATTGTCTTGAGAACAGTAGAGTCTGCCCCTTCGCTTTGATAAGCCATTCGAGAAGTTGTCAGGCTCACTTAAAAATATATATACACCTTGTTCCCGGACTGAATTCCCCTTGGTGTAGATGCTCGCAGAGCTCCCACTCCTCCTCCTCCCCCCCCTCCCAGCCTGCCCTATGGTTTACTGTGCACATTGCATTCTCTTTTATAGAAAGCAACCAAGTATAAAAGGTACCAGGATGCAATCCAAGTCCTTCTCCCTGCCCTGCGCCTAGGGCAGGGGTTGCCGGAGCCCTGCCTCGCACTGCTCCCGGGGATGCCGTGTAAGTGCTTCCCCTCGCCGAATAGCGGGCACCATTCCCCGCACCGGTTTCTCGTGCTCCGTTGCGCTTGCCCTGGGCGGGCGAAGCCGTTCTCAAACGTAAAGAGATCTCCTACCTGCCGCTCTGCAGCGTTGAGGCGTGAATGCATGTCCTGCGATGGGAGACCGCCTAAGGACAGGCACTAAAGTGGCGCGTGTTGTTGTTTTGTTCTGGCAGAGATGGGATCCCGCCGTACAGACTCCGAAAGCAGCATCGCAGAGAGATGCAGGAAAGTGCCAAAGCAAATGGACGTGTGCCACTACCTCACATCCCTGTAAGTAGCAGTATCTCCTTTTGCAAAGGTAAACGCGCAAAGTATGTAAGATCCCGAGGGTACCTTCGTTGTGCTTGCTCGCGCGTCTGTTTGACCTTCCTTAGCCCTGTAGCGTTTGGGGATGTTTTAAGACAGAAATCCACTGCGCTGAGGAAAGGTGTGTGAGAGGGAGGAAAGCTTGGTAGCCTTTTTCCAAACGTTGAGAATTGATCGTCAAGGGATGCCCAAAGCAGGTAACTTTTCTCAACTGGTCGGGCAGGAGTCAGCTGTTTTTCTGGGGCAGAACGGCAGCAGCGGCTGGGTCGGGCAGCTGGCGTCTGCCTGCACGCGGGTTTTATGCCGTTGGGTGAGCTGGAGAGACTCGGGGAGAGTGTAGGAGGCCACGAGGCGTGAAGGCTAACGTAGCTTTCAGCCAAGGTCAGCTAGGGAGACATGCGACTGTCCCAAGCCATGCAGCGGGTGGCCAAAGGGAGCTGTAACGGGTTCTGGAGGACGCCGCAAAGCCCACGGAGAAGGGGCAGATGCAACCGATTCCAGTCGTCTGATACCACCTCCTCGGTTGCTTCAGATAAGCAAACAGCTTTTGGAAGATGAGCATGGCCGTTAGGGCTCTGCAGCACCATCTGCAGCTCCACTTATTCTCGTAAGTATTTTTCTTTCTGTGCGAAGTTACAGGTGACATTTAATATCTAGCAGGAAATAAAGGTGCTTCTTTCCTCTTTGGACAGCTGGACTCCAGCACAAATCAAACAGGAAAAAAACACGTCCATCTGCTTTTTGCAGAAGTGGCCTCAAACTTGACACAGCTGTTCTTGTCCTGCCCGCTCAAAGTGGCACAATACAAGTAGAAATACACCCTTGTTTTAATCTGATTTAAAAAAAAAAATGCAGCCCACCAACCTTTGTTTTGCCTTTTAAATTAGATTATTTTCCTTAGATTTAAGAGGGTCCCCTGTGCTTTGATCACTGGGTTGACAACAAAAGCCCAGGCTGTGGACGCTCACTAGCCGTCCTTGCTCAGTCACCTCTCTTTTCACACAGTTGCTTTCGCAGTGTGGTTGCTGTCGAAAAGACTGGCTGGGCGCCTTTTTATTCCACTTGATGCAGTTTTTACTGTAAGCATTGCTTTGTTAGAGTTGCAATTTGAAAGCTTGGCCTTTATTTTTTGTTGTTGTTGTTGTTGCTGTTACTGAACAGTGGGAGCTACTGATTGAATATTCTCTGACTTCAAAGCTTGTCAGTGGCTTTACCTTTTGGATAAAAATAATAGTGGCTTTCTGTTGATTGTGTGTGCTGGCAGTGCCTCAATGAACTGCAGGTTATAAACTCAGAGTATGGAGCATTAAATATGTATAGTGAGCTCTGCTTTAACGAACTTCCATCTGCCAAACATTTCTTTTGTTGAAATGAATAAGTGTCATTCGAGCAGCAGTTCCTTGCAGCCTAATTAGTTTTACTTAGCATTAAATTTTATCTACTTTTTTGGAAACCAGTTAAAAAAAGGAGGAGGGGGAAAAAAAACCCAAGGTTTAAATTGGCCACCTGCTGCTTATAAATGTTTATATTGTCCTACTTATCTACATGGGTCTGTTAGAACTACATATTCCTCCTAAACTACACACAGACGCTTCACAAGGTTTTGTCTGTGAAACATCCAGTGTTCCCATTAGATTTTGTGCTGTAAGTTTAAGTCCCAGGGAAGAAGGCATCTTGATGCCTATTTATATGGGAGTGGAGAGCTGAGAAGTCAAGTTAGTTCTAGTCTTTCTCCAGGGAATAAAAGTTTAGTTCAGACACTCTGGCACCTCCTGCCAGCCAATTACTGACATAGAATTGGCATCGACTTCAGAGAGGCACTGCTCTGCCCTCGCGTATCAATCAGCCAAGAAAGGGGAAGGTAATTAGACAATATGTTTTGACAACACCAGTGTGAAATGTTATAAAGTTAGTCTTTTAAAATCACCTCTAGCTGCAAGTTTATTGCATTAAACCTACCCAATTAGCCAGGAGCCATGCAAATGTTTCTTCAAGTGTCGCTTCCCAAAGTCAGTCGTTAGCCACGGGCTGCGTGATATCCTAACGCGCTATTAGCTGCTTGGACCTGATGATTAGCATACTTCTAAACACACAGCAGTGACCTAACTGTAGCTTTTGAGTGAAGGTCTTTATGGGCTACATATATAACCAGTATAGGCAGAGCTGATACTGATAGTGCTTGCAGAATGCATGGCACGTTTTGCTTGCGAGAGTAGTGAACCTCCTACTACCAAAAAGTCATTTCAGAAGTCTTTCAGAGACCTTAACGTTCACTTACAAGTGAATTGCAGGGCTGTTAGGCAAAATACGGAAAGAGCTTATATTGTTTTTAATAGCAGCACTTTTAGTTAGGTCTAGAAGCTATAAACTGTAGTGATTTTATGGTCGTAGGAGATTGCCCGCAAATTTCAATGACCACGCTGCTTCTTCTGAACAACGAAACCGTGCTTTAGTTATGTCGGATGCCCCGCTATGCAGCAGTAGGTCTTGGTGCATGGCCAGCTGTGTTCTGCATATACTACGCAGTATATACAAATGCTGTAAGTTTGGAAAAGTTGTGTTTTTCGAAGTGGCTCCTTGCCCAGGAATGCAGTGGCTAAAGGTCTCCAGCAAGCTAGCAGACCTTTGTTTTGCTAGCAGGAATCTTATTGCACAGCAGGCAAATGTTGCTTTTCATGTGATGTTCCATCTTGCTCTTGGATTTGAGCAGACTCTTTGAGCAACCATAATAAGGAAAGTGTAGGCGAGTTCCCAAAAGAAAAGGGATGAAAGCACAGAGAATGCAAGGCCTTACCCATGCTGATGTACTGTTTTCCCCACTGCTCAGTCCTGAGTAGATGCCCTGCGGCCAGATGACAGCAGGACTGTCTGTGTTAGATGTCTGCCCCTGGACCTGGCATTCATCAGAGTACTTTGGGAAGTCAGCACTCCAGCAACAGTTCCTGGGAAAAGTCAAGATCTTCACCCAGACCTTCCCCCCCTCCCCTTCGATAGTATAAGGAAGCCATTTTGTGATGTTCTTGCTGTAGCTTGATCGTCAGCTGGGAGCTGTCCTATCCTCCACAGAATCACAGAAGCGGTAGCTCTTTACACCATTCCTTCATGAGAAGAGAAAAAGTAGAAGCAGCAGAAGGGTCAGTTAGGCTATTTGCTTAACTTTCGCAGAAGGTCTTAGCTAGGATGTCCTGTATGCAGAGGTGACTTCCATAGTGTTCTTTAGTGGAACAAAAAATTTGGAGTCACTGTGCAATACTGTAAAAGTGAGCGGTGAGCAGGTATTCCGGAAGAGCCTTGGGCTCTTGCTGCCAGGGTAACTACAACTGAACGCGCTTTCTGCTCCTCTGGGTTGGTAACCTGTTCAGAATTCCCTTGAGCCATTGTATGGCTTTTTCCTCAAATGCCTTGCAGCAGCGGGACTTCTGGCTAATCCCTGAATACCATTATATGGAGGCAGAAATCCAGCTGTCCACCAGCTCTGCCACAGGAGTGAGTGGAATGGAGACACTATTTACCCTTTAAAAGCAAACATCGCAGGGGCTTGGAATACATTAATCTGGGAAATGTAGAGGTTCAGAAATTCTTTACTCTTGGGCTCCCTAGCATGCCGCCTCCATTTCATCTCCAAGACTGACTTTTGATCTAACATCAGCCACTCAAGCATCATGGAGGCATCAACCCTGTAGAAGGAAGCGACCTTCGGGCCCAGTCAGATCAGTCAGAAATGATTCAGCCCAATTCACAGATCTCTAAGTCTGATTAGAGACCTCTACCCAGTTATAGCATTGGAAGACTTACTATTTCATCCTAGAGCTGAGGTTTATTCTCCCCGGGGGAACCTACAAACTGCAATGAGAGTCTTCCCTTTCACCCTTTTCAGTTCTAGGTATTATATAGATCAGAGTAAAAAACACCATCCCTGTAAAAACGCCGTCCCTGTGACAAGACTGAAGAGATGGCGTAAACTTAAGTTGGGAAGAAAGGGCGAGGAAAGACAAGGTAACAACAAAGAGCACAAAAGGTCAAAGGTCCCAGCTCTCAACCTTGCAGACAGACATGCAAGGCATTGCTTCAGAGCTCATTTTGTTGAGCCAGCTTTAAACACTGAGCTTGCAACTTCATTGTGTTCCTTCTCCTCACTATGGAAGAGAGAAGCTCACTTGATCCTTCAAGATAGATAGCTGGACAGACCTGGTTTTCCAGAGGTAGTATCTGTTTAGGATGCCAATGTGCTCTGATGTGGAACTTGCTCCTCAAAGCGCAGTTTCTCGGAGGTGATACTCGTCAAAACCCAAGTCCTGCATCTGCTTCATGGAGCAAAATCCATGCAATTCCCACTCTATTAGCTCCAAAAAAAAGAGGGGGAAAATATGATAGCAGACACTAAGTTGAACTACTGGAGAGCTTCTATATCTAGCATATTTTTAGCAAGCTGCTGCTTCCCAAAGGTGCCAGACCTTCAGGCGCATCACATGTCAAGGACAGCGAACGAGAAGAGGTGCAATGTTCTGGTGATAGGTGCCCCAAGAAATCCTTCCTCACAGCTGTCACTAGGAAAGGTTAGTCCATCCAGACCAGCTCAAGCTATTTTCTTTCTTGCTAGCCAACGTGGCATTCAGCCTCCTGCCCGTTGTTCTCTGTAACCTCCCCAAATCATCATGGTTTGTTTCTGGACAGACCCCACCTGAATTAGCGGCAGCCTCATTAGATAGAACAACTATTCTTAAAGATAAAGTGGTTCCTTTCCAAATTGTTGCCCCAGAATGGCCAGAGATCTCACTCTGGTCCAGACAGGAGGGCACGGATCTTCCAAAAACAGTGGCAGATGTTTGACCCGCCAGCTCTTGGAAAATGCTGCACCCTCTACTTGGAACAAAAGCGTTTTGGAGCCGTTCTGATTTTAAAACAATAAACAGCTTATTTATGACTCTCTTGGCAGGGCTTAGTATCCCCACAGGGAGACAGGG